CGACATGGATCTAAGAAGCCTGATTTTAATCAGATTGCCAGCGTTCTGCATGGGCATATTTTTGTATTGTGATGTTAAGAAAACTTAATTTGATTAACTTAGTTACTGAAGAAATACTGATCAACTATTGCTTAGTTCAGGATGCACTTTACATGACAACCGACTAAAGTTCCGGGGTCATAAAACTTTTACACTTGCATCTACAGGCTTTAGAATTATTTTTAAAAACAGAGGACATTGATTTCAATATTAACATGATTAAGAAGTGCACATGAGGTGCTATTTTATCGGTACATGTATACCGGTATATCGTGATTTTTAATTGCGTGATACGTATCTTGATACTGAGACTAAAACATATAAATATTCAATTAAAATTATTGTAAAAATTGCTGGTAAATATATCATAATATTGTGATATTTGGGGGAGGGGTATCGATATCGTGATATATCGCGATATGATATTTGGGGCATCTCGTTACTAACGGATATGGGAAATGAGGGTATATATGGAATTCAATTGGAAACATTTTACGGAACTACCAATGCAGCTGTGAGCATAAACATATTGAAAAATTATTGGTAAATCCATTTGAAAACTTAGATCTAAAATACCCCCTAAGTATATTCTTGTGTATATCTGCGAAAATGTGAATATTTAAATTGTTTATTTCTTTTCTTTCTTTTTTTATTTTTTTAATACAGTTTTGATGAAAATTATAATGAATTTTCCAGTAAAACGGAGACTGTGGATTTAGTGTTGAATATTCTAATTCGAGGGCCAACCGGACAAACTGAAGAATATAAACTATATAGTACTAGTATTCATTTGGACTTCGAATACAGTCCATCAAACAAAATTATTCACATGAATGTGCACATCCGATGATCGATAAGCTCTACTGAAGAATATGTATGTATTGTAACAGTATTTCATAAAAAGTGCATTGATGTCCCCGTATGGTAGCTATTGGCGAGGGTTGAAGTTTCTCAGATGCAAGTCGACAAAGGTCAGTTAGGGTCAAAATTGTTGGTGTCCAAAGGAACGTCTTGTCACTTAGAATACACCTGTGAAATACGAAAGCCTTAGAACAATAATGTCTGAAAATAATCTATTAATAGCATTTCACACTGTTTTTGCACTTGCTCCTGTGTAAAAATAAGCATAAAGGTATTGTTTTTAATACCTAAAAATTAAGAGCAGTTAAGTGGTCAGAAAAAATATTGTCAAAGTTTTGAAAATTTCACACAAAGACTTTTCGGACATAGGTCCGCCCTTAAGTAAGTCAAACTCTGAGGTCAAGGTCAAAATGTTTTTACCAATTGAAAGGTCACAATGAACAGATGTAAACTATGAAAGTCTTAACAACAAGTACATGCATGTTTAAAAATTACTAAAGCCGTGAGTGTTAACTGTTCACAACTTAAGTTATGGCCAAGGTTAAAGTTTTTTTTAGTGAGTCAAACTCTAAGGTCAGGGTCAAACAATGAATAAACATGTGAAGTAAAGCCTTAGCACCAAGTGTTCAAAAGTTACGAGTATACAGCCAATTAGGTTTAACTGTGGTATTTTTTGTAAAAGTGGGTACCTGTCAAACTCCAAGATCAAGTCTGAAGAGGTCAAAATTGGTGGTATCCAAAGAAATGTCTCTTGTTACAAGGATTACATCTGTGAAATAGAATACTATAGTGCCACAGCCACACAGCCACACCCAGGCACTCAAAAGTTTTGGGCAAGGGTTTTAAAGTTTTTGCGGACAAAGAGACAAACAATTAAACATGCAGACGTGCAGACTGACGCACGGACAGGGCAAACGCTATATATCCCGAATCTTCAAATTTCAATTCTGGGTGTATAAAAAGTCGGAGTACGTCCCATATCATATCAACTAATGATAGTATATGTCCCGATGGGACATAAGGCTTCAACAAACTGTCTCCATCTTCCTTTATCCTTTGCCACATACCGTGCCTGCCCCCCAAGAGTAGCCCATTTCCTCTAACTCTGATGTTATAGTTCTTCTCCATGTTGTTCGTGGTCTACCTCGTTTCCTCTTTCCAGATGGTGTCCAATGTAAAGCTGTTTTGGGTATCCTGTTCTGGGGCATTCTCATCACATGTCCCAGCCATCTCATTCTTCTTTGCTTGATTTCTGTTGTTATACTCCTGCTTTTGCTTTTCTTGTGTAGGTCTTTGTTTGAGATCTTGTTTGGCCAGAAGATACGGTGGATTTTTCGAAGACAGTTGTTGTGGAATGCCTCTACTTTTCTCATGTCGCTGTCAACAACACTCCAACATTCAGACCCATACAGGAGAACTGATTTGACATTGCTGTTGTAAAGTTGGAGTTTGGTTCTCAGACTGTAGTTGCTGGACTTCCAGATGGGCTGAAGTTGGGTGAATGCTTTCCATGATTTACTGAGACGTGATTTTATGTCTTTACCAGTGCCGTTGTCCTTACTTAGGATACTGTCAAGGTAAGTGAAGTCCTCAACTTCCTCAAGTGCCTCTCCATTTAATGTGACAGGTTCTACCGGTGCATTGATTGTCATGACCTTGGTCTTCTTAGCATTGATGTTAAGCCCAGTTTGTTTGGCAAAGGAGTTTAATTTATCAGTCTTTTCTTGTAGGTGGGTGATGTTTCCTGATACTTCTGCCAGATCGTCTGCAAAGTCCAGGTCTTCTAGGTGACTGAACATTGTCCATTGGATACCCCTCTTTTTGTCTTGTGTGGTGTTTCTTTGGATCCAATCAATGACCATAAGGGTGATAGTATGCATCCTTGCCGTACTCCAGATTTTACACTGAAGGAGTCCGATATTCCATGACACTACACTCGAAGTAGTAAATGTTTTTTTTTTTTTTTTTTAATTTTATTTTTTTTTTAATTTTTTTATGATGTTGCAGATCTTTGCTGGTATTCCATATGATCTAACTACATGTATTTTCCAAAGTGTTTCCATGTGCACACTGTCAAAAGCTTTCTTAAAATCAATAAAATTAATGTACAGTGGCATTCGCCATTCTATACACTGTTAAATAATGTTACGAATGGCAAAACCTTTGTCTTTACACCCTCTCCCTCTTCTAAATCCAGCTTAATTGTATCTCTCTTAATTTCTTTTCAATCACTTTTATTTGTCTATTCTGTACAGCAGTATTTTACAGAACACCTTGCTGGGGACTGAGAGCAGTGCTATGCCTCTCCAGCTATCACAAATTTGGAGATCTCCCTTTTTTGGCAGCTTTACAATGAGTCCTTTACTCCAGTCGTGTGGTATTGTTTCATTTTCCCAGATATGTACAAATAGATCTAATAGCGTTTTTGATGATGTTGCAATACTAGTATCTGATTTCAGCATGTATGCAGTCATTGCCTGGGGATTTACCATTCTTTAATGTTTTAATACAGTTTTGGACTTCTTCGAGGGTTGGTGGTTCTAAGTTTATTTCTAAGTCTTCAACTGCAGGGTCTGGACTCGCTGGTTCATCGGGTTCTGGGCAATTTAGTACTTCCTGGAAATATTGTACCCAGCGGTTGGCTTGTTCATGTTCTGTTGCCAGTGGGTGACCATCTTTATCTTTCACAAGAGCTTTTTTGGTTATTTTGTAAACAGTGCTCATTTCTCCATGTGTAGCAGCTTGTTCAGCTTCTTGTGCCAGACTGTCAACATACATTCGTCTATCCCTCCTGGCACTTCGCTTGATATCTCTATCCTTTTCTTTATAGGTATATGTACATATATAGTGAAGTATAAATATCACACTCCTAACAAATTATAAATTTGATAATTCCCATATGCATATTCTTGTGATTGATTTTTGCTGCTCGTTATCTAAACTTTTAAGCTCACCTGAGCCGAAGGCTCAAGTGTGCTTTTCTGATCACATTTTGTCCGTCGTCCGTCCGTCCGTCCGTCTGTAAACTTTGCACATTTTCGACTTCTTCTCAAGAACCACTGGGCCAATTTTGACCAAACTTGGTACAAAGCATTCTTGGGTAAGGGGGAATTTAAATTGTCAAAATGAAAGGCCAAGTCTCCTCAAAAGGGGAGATAATCAAGAATAGACAAAAATAGGGTGGGGTCATTAAAAAATCTTCTTCTCAAGAACCACTGGGCCAGAAAAGCTGAAACTTATGTGGAAGCATCCTTGGGTAGTGTAGATTCTGAATTGGTCAAATCATGACGCCTGGGGATAGGGCGGGGCCACAATGGGGAATCAAAATTTTACATAGAAATATACAGGAAAAATCTTTAAAAATCTTATTCTCAAGAACCACTGGGCCAGAAAAGCTGAAACTTATTTGGAAGCATCCTGGGGTAGAGTAGATTCTAAATTGTTCAAATCATGACCCCCGGAGGTAGGGCGGGGCCACAATGGGGAATCAAAGTTTTATTTACATAGAAATGTATAGGAAAAATCTTTGAAAATCTTCTTCTCAAGATTCACTGGGCCAGAAAAACTGAAACTTAATTATGTGGAAGCATCTGGGGTAACGTAGATTCTAAATTGTTCAAATCATGACCCCTGGGGATAGGGCGGGGCCACTATTGGGAATCAAATTTTTACATAGAAATATATAGGAAAAATCTTTGAAAATCTTTTTCTCAAGAACCAATGGGCCAGAAAATCTGAAACTTAATATGTGGAAGCATCCTGGGGTAGTGTAGATTTCAAATTGTCTAAATTGTGATCAGTGGGGTAGGGAGGGGTCACAATATGTATACATAACAAGGGGGGAAATCTGGTAAAGAACAAGATGGTCAAAGCTTTTCAGGTGAGCGATGTGGCCCATGGGCCTCTTATTTTTTTTTTTTTTTCATTTGTCTCTCTTTTTTTAAAGTTCAGAATCCTTTTATGACGTGTAACACAAACAAAAACCTTATATAAAGCCGCATTTGAAATAACAAAAACACGTGTCATTGTTTTGACAGTTTTCGTATTTCGCGGATTTTTTTCTCGGGCTTTTTCCTTGAAAATTACATTCGGAACAGAATTCCGCCATCTTTTTTGTTTATATTTAGGCTATCTCGAAGGAAATTTCTCTAATTTTTGAGTAAGTTAAGTGTTTTACGAGGGAATTGCTTCATCAACAAAGGTAAGAAATTATAAACATTTATACCAACTCTGCAATCATATAAGTTCAAGGTGCAATACTGTTCTTGAAACGAACCCCTTGAAACCTCACAATATCGCCCCCCCCCCCTTTCACTTCAGTTTTAACCGTGTTATTGTTAAAAACGACAAGATAATGTATTTCTTATCTTTTATAATATGGTGTATTTTAAAAAAAGAATATGAAAAGTGTATGGTATTTATGTATTTACATTTACCGAGAACAAAACTCGATGTCAGAAAATTTGTATCCGAGGAATTTCGAACTGTTAATTGTACATGTATCAAGCATTAATAGGCCCCACATCACTATAAAACATTATCAGGGTCACAACACTGTACATGTATGCTCTATAATAGACAGAAATACACTTTATGTAATGAAGAAGCATACAGAAACATTTATTTCAGAAATTGTTCATTATAGAATATTTAGTTCAGGGTAGAAATAATGCTTAGTTATCTTCTGTGGTTAAATTTCTTTACCAATTCACTTTGTTAATCAGAGTAAGAATTTTATGTATTGATCCTTCATCAATCAATTGATTTAAAGTTCAGAATATTCCTTTATGCTGTTTGAAAAAGTACCGCTTACACTGAGGAAAATATATCACAAATTTTTCCCGAGCTTTTGATTTGGCCTACCGTACATGCAGAATTTTTAGTGAGAGTTTAGTATTTTGGCATTATTAGCGAGGATGTTGAAATTGCTAAAATCGAATATGGCTGAAAATTAATTGCATTTTAATTATAATAGTTTCTTGAGTGAGCATTTAAAATCGCTAAAATTACACATTGCTATAAATATATAACCAAATTTTCAGGACAAATCGCTAAATTTGCGTCTCGCTAAAATTTCCAGTCATACAGTATTTAGGTCGAAAGTGCATATCTGTCATTATTGATTAAATATGCATCTATTTAATTAGATTTCTTAAATTTAATTTTCTCGGTAAAATTAAAGTTAAAGCATAAAGTTATGCTTTGAATAATTTGCTATGTTTTTCATTTACATAAAAATTATAACTTACATGTATAATAGCTTTTGTGATCATTTATATGAATGTATGTCCAAAACATCAATAAAAACTAACTGCCTGTCTCTATTTCCAGATTACCTCTGACCTGAGTCACCTGAGCTCAGTCTTCCCCATACTCGCTGAGTCCGCCTTCATGTCTGCCTCCCTGGCCGTGATTCTGATCGACTAGAATCACAGCTTCCTGGAGATGTCCCTGCTGAGGCTGATCCAGAGTTATCTCCCTCGATGGAGGAATAGGAACATCAGACAAGATGTGTACATCTGTCTGGTCATAGCAGCATTGGCTATTATGTACAGCAACTCCATGAAAAATTTTGCCATCAACATTGAAAACTGTAGAATTGCAGTTGCAGCCATCATTGTTCTTCTCTCATTTTGGCTGCAGAGTAAATCAAAGGCAAATAATGTCTCGGACAAATGTGTGGGGACCCCAAAAGTACCAGTCTCTGACAAGTCAGTGGGTGGGTCCCCAGTAACACAAAGGGATCAGACGAGCAATGCCTCCTCCTGCTGTGGGGTGGGGATACCCCGGTACCTCCTCTCCCTGTCCTCCTCCTGCTCCTCAGAGCCTCAATCTGAGGTGAATATTGAGAGGGAGCTGACAGAGGGTTATGTGCAGGCCTTCAGGGAACTGTATGATGAGGGGGAGGTAACTCAGGACGAGCTGGTCACGGCCATACAGTACCTCAATACACTCAAGGGAGGTAAGTATGACATTCACTGCGAAAAGATTCTTTGAACTGCAAGTTTGTTCAATATACATGGATAAGAAGAGAAAATTTGTATTTTTCAAGAGGTTCATTTATAGAATTCTATCACAGGCACTTGCTTCTGAAATAAATTTATGTACTGTAGATTCCTTATTTTTTTCTCGAGTACTTATTATCGCGAATTGGCTCTTCAACGTCAGAATCATAATTTGCGGCAAATGGACAGTTGATCAAGAGATTTTACGTATATTTCAGCACAATAAAAATAAAATTTTATTTCACGGGTGGTGATTCTCACGAAATAATGCCATAATTAATTTCACACATTTAATTAGGAATCTACAGTATCATATAGTAGTATTATAACAAAAGGTATCTTACTCTAAATAACAAAGAGTGCCACCTCCTCAGAACTGCATTTACATTTTAAGAGAAAACACAGTGGAAAACTGCTTTAATATTATGATTTATGCTTTCTATCATCTTCAAAGTTTGCTTGGTGTCTAGAAAATTGAATTTACACTAATAATTTCTCAACAATTGGACTTGAATTTTTAGGGATAACTGCCCAAAAAAGTGGTGAGAAGTTGACAAATGCAGTGGACCATATCAGGAGTATGGGTAGAGAGAGGTCACGGCTGGATGACTCTGGGCTTCCCCAGGATTACACATATGAGGAACTCCGACACATTGTGGTAGATGAGAACGGATATTCCTTTGAGGACTTTGAGAGAGTATTGGGGGAGTGGTTAGAGAACAACAGTAAGTGTGATTGTCCCAGACCTGAAAATTGCAAAACAGCCAATGGCTATTTTTATTGTTACCACAAAGACAAAAAGTTGTCCCCCTTGAAATATGATAAGACAATTGGAATTTAAAGCATAAACCATAGTAAAAATATGATCACAAGTTATTGGTAGGATTTGTATACAAGTTATTTTATTTCATCCAAAAATCATTAAAATATGTAAATCTTACTGAGAATATAATTTCTATTATTTAGGTTTCCTCCCCTCTCCTGAGGAGTTTGTTGAAATCCACCACAACAAGAAAGGTATAGGTAAAGAATGGTTTGATCCTTCATTGCATTATTTTCTTTTTTCCACAGATGTAAATTACCAGGGTAAAAAAATGATAGTACCGGTAATAGTTTTGTATGCGTTTTAAAGATGTAATGCATTTACATAAAAAAACATTTTGTTAGTTCTTATTTGATATGTTATAAATAGTTTTTTTTACATGATTACACAATAATAAACATTAAATATAAAAGTAAATGAATAAGGAATGGACTGTCTAATAAACATTTAAGGATGAGGTCTTGACCCAAAGGTAACATATTAAGAATGGTTTTAAAAATTTTCTGCAATAATTGTAGTTCAACTGGAGAAGGAGGTGGTAGACACAAAGAGAGAAATGGAGGAGACTCGTCATGAGATGGAGGAGACTCGTCATGAGATGGAGGAGACTCGTCATGAGATGGAGGAGACTCGTCATGAGATGGAGGAGACACTGAGGGTGGTGGAGGAGACCACACAGGAAGTGAGGGAATCCCGACAGAAGGTCACCTCACTCAGAGAGAGGCTGCAACAGAAGGAGAGGATCATCTTACTGAGGGATCAGGCCTTACAGCAGAGGGATCAGGCCTTACAACAGAGGGATCAAGCCTTACATCAGGAAAGACTAGTCAGTCAACAGAAGGACAGACTCCTAGATCAGGAGAGACAGAGGGTAAGAAAGTTAGAGGAGAGAAATCAGCAGCTTCCTGAAGGGGACTTACAAAGGAGGGTGCGGGAGATGGAGGAAGAGATTCGTCGACTGATGGCCCAGTCTCACAGGTCCAAGTGTAAGATCTGTTGGGTAGAAGAGATCCGTGTTTCCTTCACCCCCTGTAATCACCTGATCTCATGTCAGGGTTGTGTGGACAGTCTGCCAGAGAAAAAGTGTCCCATATGTAGGGAGCCTATTGAAGATACAGTCACAATGTCCTTTGCATAGAAACTATGCATCCTGTAGATCTGTGATTTTGGCAGCTGCTACCTGTACTGTTAGTCTTGTATATTTGTACATATTATGTTGTATATCATATTCATTGAAATGTCACAAACTTGACCCCAACTAACATTTACAGTACTTGAGACTGGTGCATATCAAAGGATATCACTCATATTGTTGAAATTAATATAGCCCATTTTGGCTTAAAGTACGTTTTCTGTGAAAGTAAGTTTTTTTCTGAATAGACAGCATTTCTGAACAAAATTTTGACAAAATCATTTCACATAGCCTTATCTGAAATTATGTTTCCAATTTAGTGAGAACAAATTTTTTTATGGTCTTTACTATAAAAGGAGGAATAGCGCATGATTATAACTTTATGGGGACAAGAATAAAACCACTGTAAAGAGTTGATGTTTAGTTTTGTATAATCATAGTTGTCCAGTTTGACTGTATCCTGATTCCTCAATCAATATGGCACAGTGCGTGGTTTGAAATATTGGCATGAACTAAACTGTAAAATAAGGAATATTGATCACAGTGAGTTTTATTTTTGACCTTTATGATGTTTTGTTTTGTTTTTACATCAGAAATGCTGTTATATACTTGATAATGTAAATATTTCTAATGCAAACTTTTCTTTTGGTTTAGGAAGTATTTTCTACCAATTATTTTTCCATTAAGTGTGTAATGTCTCTGAAAATAAGTGCTGTTTCAAATTGTAAATATGTATATTACCAATAGAAAATATATGTATATATACTTAGATTAAACAAAAATGTGATTACCTTGTTTGTTAGTACAGGAATTAATATTTGTAATTCTTGCAGATAAAATACACTGTACATACCTGGGTATATGCATTTTTTCTTCAATAGCTGCAACATTAATTCTCATTCTAACAAACAAAGAAAAACATTTATATCTGTATAAAATAATCATATAATGTGAGTGAAATGTTTCACAGATTGATAAGCACAAAGGATAAGAAATCTGTACATATGACTTAAAATAAATCCCAAGTAGTGTTTGTTGATTGATGAAAGAGGTTTTCATGATAAATCTTCAATGGATGTAAATATTGTTTATACAAGTATTATGTGTGACAAGAATGGCAACTTTAGCTTGAATAACTATATGTACTTAGGACAGTGTGTGCAATATATAATATGAGGATAAGTGACTTTTATATGAGTGTATTGGAAAAAGTGCTATTCTTTTAAACACTACAAGACGATTTTATGAATTTTGTTTTAATTTAACAAATTTTTTTAACTCTAACCAAAGTCTTGATGTACATGTATGTATGGTATTATCATTTTTTAGCTCTACTGGTCAGAGACCAGAAGAGCTTATGCGATAGTAATGCGTCCGGCGTCCGTCCGTCTGTCTGTAAACAATTTTTCAAAACGCTACTCCTCCTACAATTTTAGTCTGATTTCAATATTACTTGGCACACAAGTAGACTACATTAACATACATAGAATAGTGCATCAGTTTTTGATTTCGATGAACGGTGTTGCCATGGTTACTAAAAATAGAATTTTCTGTGAAATTCCTTAAAAACGCTACTCCATCTAAAGTTTTTGTCTGATTTCAATATAACTTGGCACACAAGTAGACTACACTAAGATACATAGAATAGTGCATCGGTTTTGATTTCGATGAACGGTGTTGCCATGGTTACAAAAAATAGAATTTTCTATGAAATTCCTTTAAAACGCTACTCCTTCTACAGTTTTGGTCTGATTTCAATATAACTTGGCACACAAGTAGACTACACTAAGATACATAGAATAGTGCAACGGTTTTTGATTTCGATGAACGGTGTTGCCATGGTTACTAAAAATAGAATTTTCTGTGAAATTCCTTAAAAACGCTACTCCTTCTACAGTTTTGGTCTGATTTCAATATAACTTGGCACACAAGTAGACTACACTAAGATACATAGAATAGTGCATCGGTTTTTGATTTCGATGAACGGTGTTGCCATGGTTACAAAAATAGAATTTTCTGTGAAATTCCTTAAAAACGCTACTCCTTCTACAGTTTTTGTCTGATTTCAATATAACTTGGTACACAAGTAGACTACACTAAGATACATAGAACAGTGCATCGGTTTTTGATTTCGATGAACGGTGTTGCCATGGTTACAAAAAATAGAATTTTCTGTGAAATTCCTTTAAAACGCTACTCCTTCTACAGTTTTGGTCTGATTTCAATATAACTTGGCACACAAGTAGACTACAGTAAGATACATAGAATAGTGCATCGGTTTTTGATTTCGATGAACGGTGTTGCCATGGTTACTAAAAATAGAATTCTCTGTGAAATTCCTAAAACACTACTCCTTCTACAGTTTTGGTCTGATTTCAAAATAATTTGGCACACAAGTAGACTACACAAAGATACATAAAATAGTGCAATGGTTTTTGATAAGTACAAACCAATAGAGCTACAGTCTCGACAGAGACTTCTTGTTTTAATTAATGAATCAAAAGTGTTATATGTGGTACTGGATTTTTGAAATTTGATAAGAGATTAATGATTTTTTTCTCTCTGTTAACTCTTTGAATCAGAATACTGTTCATGTATGTGTTTTAGCCAGAAATTTGATACTGTTTTTTGCCCAATTCAGAAGTGTAATTATATGCATAAAAACATGACATTTATTTACTACAAGTGCTATTTCACGAGTTCCAAATCCTTCATTTCCTTTCTATGTGCTATTTTTTGATACAGGGTATGCAAAAATATGTAACTTGCAGTTTGAGGATACAAGGGGTCTTAAACAAGTTTTTAACTAACCCATTTAGTACTTGTGAGTGTTTTTAACATATCAAAACAAAACAAAATCAAAATAATGCACTGATCCATGTATAACAATCTAATTCAAATTTGTTAGATCTGCTTTTATACTCACTTGTAGTTACAGCTGAGTATGGGAGGTGAACTACACGTTATATATATAATTCTAGTTAGACTGTAAAGTACACATATTTTATATAGAATGACTCTTAAATTGTGTAAACAGTTAAGAAAAGACATGAAATTTGATTCTTTGATTTTTTATAAAATTTTATCCCCCCTCAAAAAAAAAAAAAATTCAAAGAGCAAGTTCTTTTTGTATCATTAATATTCTGCATCTTTTTATTACATTTTTATAATATATTTTGTTCGTCTTGTTTGATCACTCCAACTCAGAACTTATTATGCATTGAATTGGCAGCTTGATATATTAAAAAAGTGTTCATGTCTACAATGGCAAATACATATATGTCTCAGATGAAGAAATATACTAGTCTTGAACTAGTGAGATGAAGTTATTTTTAGCAAAGCCTGATTCTCAAGGTCCACTAGTACACAGTGCTGTTTTTAATAAGATATAGAAAATTAAATTTTGTCATAAGAAAGGTTGATTTTTACTGCAGTTTAAATTACAGGTTGGAGGTATATTTCAAATGTAATAGAAATTTTTTGGAGAAGAGTATGGAAAGTTGGATTTTATGTTAATAGAATTCAAAGTAGAGATAGAGCAATATTGAAACTGCCTCAAATGTGGAGGCAGTATTTGTATACCAGATATTATTTTAGATTGTGTTTTTTAATGTGAGCTCAAGCTCTGTGTTTGTCCTAAGAGGATACATGTATATTTTGGGAATGATTTTTTACAAAGCTGATTCCGAAATGGTGTGTTTCTTTAAGAATTTTAATGGAGTCAGGTTTAAGTATAGCTGAGTTTAAGAATAATTAGCAGATGTTATAGAACATATAGCTAAGTTTTGATTTTAGTGCTTTATGCTAGACGATAGCTTCAATAAGGTCAAGATCTAGTAAATAAGGAGACATCTTTTTACAGCTAGCTCCATTATGCCACCATAATTGATTTAAACTTAATTTTCCCTGTCCTTTAAGGCATTAATAGAATTTAGAATAATGAAGAAAATGAAGTCTTTTGGTGGAATTCAATTAAAGAATATGTCAAAAGTAACCACCAGTGTTCTGTTAATGTCATTTTAAACCCTTTTCTGCGAGACTGTAGGCAATACTGATACATTTACTTCATCAGAGATTAAAAAATAAAAACTCCCATATTTATGCAAGAACTTTTTTAATTGAAAATGGAAGTTTGAAATAATATTATGTATTTCCATTGAGTCTACCTAAAAATTAAGTTCCAATGCATCTTATTTCACCAAGCTACATTTGTGAAGGATCATTAGAAGAATTTGTTTCTCAATTTTGAGAAATCTGTAGGCACCTTTCTGTTTCATTTACTAGATCTTGACCTTAAGGAAGTTTTTATTGAAAATACTGTAGAATATATACATGTACAATTTTATATAATCTTGGCATCTTAACCTAACCCTAATCTAAATTATAATAAATGTCAAATAATCTATTAAAAATTAAAACATTTGTTTTCCAGAAAGACTATTAAATTTGATAACTGCAAGTTTATAACTTTGTTTTGACAATTGATTATTTATTTTAAAATTTTTTTTCAAGAAAAAGATATTATTTTAAATATGCTACATTTTAAAATTTGTAAATAATTTATACTCCTTTTTAATGTATGTAATATAATTAATTAACAGTTCATATATCTGCTTTATTTTACTCTTGAAATAGTAAAAGTGCTGATTTTTTTTATAGTTTCTGTCATATTTTGCTTGAGATGGAATTACATGTAATTTTAAAACTTTTCCTCTGTCATTTTGGGAAAAAAAACCTTTTTTTTATTCTATTTCAGTGTTCCTCTCTCTCTAGATCTTTCAATACATACATGCACATGTGTGTATAATCTTCCTATTCTACTTTGTTTATATGTATTAGTTAATGGCTTTATTTTTGCAAGAAAGAAAATGATTTCAAATCAGGTTTACATATAATATAATGACTCTCTTTTTTTCTTATTTTCAACTCATTGCCTGTGACTTTCATCGAAAACACATACTGTATATTATGTGAAATTTGTTGAGTTTTTTAAAAAGTTAAAAATATTTTATAATGATAGGATGCAATAAAGAAATGTACATAAAAATACCCGAAATTTTGTGTTTTCTCTATTCCAGTTTAGAACAACTCTCAGGTAAGCTTGCACATGGACTTTCAGTAAGGGGTGGCATTCTCGTTGCTACGTAATTAGTGTCTGTCAAATAGCAAATAGATTTTCATTGATTAAGAAAATAATAACATCAGGAACTTGAAATTGCTGTTGACAACAATGAGATGACTTAAGGACAGATGATACAAACAAATTTTTTCTTTGAAAAAGATTTAATATCATGTCATCAGTTCAGAAAAGATGATGGTTCTTAGAATTTTTTCTCCGAAGAACTGAAAAATGAAATAGACTTGGAAAATATTAGTAATATTTCAGTAGAAAAACAAATATAAACAAAACACATTCAGTATAGGTTTACAGGTAAAAACAAATTTAAATTCAAAATATGTTATCTTGGCGCTAAAAGTGTAATATAAACTTAAGAAAAATATACCAAGCAAGGTGAATTTTAAGAGAAAGATCAAAATTACAAAAAATTAGCAATATCACATAGGCTGATTTTTACCATTTAGCTTTTCTTAATAAAATTCACCTGGCTTGGTATATTTTTCTTATGTTCATATTACACTATTAGCACTATGTTAGCATATTCTGAAATTTGTTTTCACCTGTAAACTTTTACTGAATGTCATTTGTATATATTTGTTTTTTCATTGAAATATTAATAATATTTACCAAGTCTTTTTCATATTCCAGTTCTTAGGAGAAAAAATTCCAAGAACCAACCACATTTCTAAACTTGTGACATGATATTAGATCTTTTTCAAAGAAAAAATTTGTTTGTATCATCTGTCCTTAAGCCCCACCTCTTTGCCGGACAAGACAATGTTATTAGTTATTCTATACACTAATTGGCATTTGCCCTAATTTCTATCCCATGTATATCATGTATATTTCAACAGTGAATGAAAGCTGTGTAAATTTCAGATGCTATTTATGTAACATAGAGAAAGCCACACCTTACTGAAAGTCCAAGCTTACCTGAGAATAGTCCTAAATTCACAAGAGTTTTTGTCTTGAAAAATACTCTTTATGTACATTCAAGCAAGTACCTGTTTATTAATTTACAGTAGTCTGTAGACTTAACCTTCAGGTTTGAACCAATTTTAATTAAACTCAGCATGAAGTAGGACAACATAAATAATTCCCCACACTATGTACAGGATTTGCACTGATGAATAAAATTAATCTTTTGAAATGCTTCTGTATCAAGAATCTGTACATCTGTAATACATTTTCACATCAGGGGCTTGGGGTTACCCGGGTCCACTAGTTCAGATGGGGTTCCTTATGATCCATAACCATAAGTGGACTCGGGGGAAAAAGGCATTTTTAGGATGTAATTCAAGTATAAAGTATCTTAAAAGCTGGATACATGTATGTACTTTTCCAAGAGATGAACAGAACTCTCTGTGATAAACTGCATGTGTTTATTCCTTTTATTAATTTGACAAAAGTTTCTTAAAATGAACTTTTCAAAATTCATTGTACAATGTGATGTTCAATTATTTTTTTTCTTTATAACCTACATAATTATATATACATTAGCTAGAATATTCAGTGTTTTTAATTACCGGTAACAACTACAGAATTAGAAAATGTTTAAACATTAAGAATAAATAGTAGGATGCCAAATTCACAAACTATGCACATGCATGTACAATAATCCCAGAAAAGTAAACTAGTCTTGCAGGTTCTTTAACTTTTTTGTATAATGACAACAATATATTAATACAGTATTTTTGTTCTGCATCATCAACAAGGTTTTTCTTTATGCTTTTTTGACATGAATAAAAATATTAAATGTCAGTTTACAAATATGGTCACACTTAGAACTAAAGGGCATGGTAACAATTAGGCCGCACATCAAAAACTCACTCCCACGCTCGCAGCCCCCGCCTTCGCCGTATCTAGGAGACTGCTACCTTTGTCCTAAAAAAAATTAAATATGTAGATTATCTAAATTATTTTGTACAATGACGATCGATATTAATATTGTTCAAGTTTTATTACAGTAAATTGTTTGTTTCAACTACAAGACATTCTTTTGGTGCTCAAAATCGTTTGTGATATTGAATGCCAATTTACAAATGCATGTATGATCATACTTTACACTGGAGGGCAAAGTTACGCTGGATACGTCAAAAAACTTACTTCCACGCTGGAAGCCCCCGCCTTCACGGTGTCCAGGAGGCCGCCACCTTCTTCCTTTGACTCGGCTTCTTCCTTTTTGGGCTCCTCTTCCTTCGGCTCCTCTTTGGGTTCTTCTTTTTCGGGCTCCTCTTTGGGTGGTTCTGGCGCTTCTTCTACAGCTCCCTCGACCTCTTCACAAGGACCACGCTCTTGAAATGCAACAATGTCGTCCTCCAGTGTCTTGCCTTCCTGCACGCCCTCAAACTTGGTTTTCTCTGACGCTGTTTTTGGAAAGGGATCGTAAATTCGTACATGTGCATACTCATCCCCGATTTTAACCTAAAAAATGTAAAATTTCTGGCATTATAGTTATGTTTCAAAACTGTAATGTGATTGGACAACAGGGGATGCTTAACCCTCCTAGACACCTGATACTAAATCTGGAATTTCCGGAGGTCCATACTGTTTTGACCTTGTTTACAGATTTGCGTTGTTAGTAAGTTTTTGAGATCGATTACTGTACATCGTTATCTCCACAGCTTTTTTTTCACTTAATGACCAGTAAACGCTATTTTTAAAATATTTTAATTTATTGATACATTGCTTTTACTGCTAGCAAATAAAACTATAATCAATACAGATGTGTCTCAGAGATAAAGTAAACTAAATTAAGGCCCATTGCCCCTCTGATAAGTGAGATAATTCTTGCTGGAATAATGGCCTTTATTCCTTTATAAAATCATCAAGTTACCAGGCCTTTCACGTAAAAATCTGTCTCGATCGCGAGGTATGCTGAAATGTGCATTTGTATTAAATTAGAGTAACTTGCAACTTCGTGATTGCATCCTCTCAATCTAGGATATGTGCACGGTTTAGGGGAGGTTGGCATCCTTAGCTACAACTCGTAAAGGAAGCTAAGCTTGTATTGACATACGGAACTTCTACCCAATTATCTAAACAAGAAGGAATTAAGAAGTCTGTTTAGGAAATATCCTTCTTTGAACAAAATTTTAAGCAATGACCCAAAATCAGCCAGAATGGTCATTTCGAGGATACAAAGAAAGCACTTCCGTGTCAGGTCACTCTTTGAAATTAATATGTTCCAATTTCCATGTATATAAGAATATAAAGGTATGTAATATTGGTAAAACGGTACAAAATCTTTTCAAATCATATATGGTATATAAAAACCCTCAAAACAAATATTATACTAGTGTATACAGGTTAAAAATTAATCTGGATAGGCTGACTTCATCTTTTCTCACCACCCCCCCCCCCCACCCCCCAGTAACGAATGATTGTAGACTTAAAACATACCTTAATGAAATATACATCCGCTAGTACGACTAGTTTTCTGAAAGAGACGGGGTCAAAGGTATCTAGTTCCTTTCCCAATTCTCTTTCCACATCAGCTTTAAACTACAATAAAAGAATAAAATCTACACTCGAATCATAATGAAGTACCCGCCTTAAACGACGACAATATATCAAATAATAAATCAAAATGATAATGATTTCAAGTTTGTTCTACATGTAATTTAAGTTCCGAACACCGCTAACAGAGTATCTAAAGAAAATTTATATAGAAAAAAAAACAAACAAACAAACAAAAAAAAAACAAAACAAACAAACAAACAAACAAAAACAAAATACGACACCTTTTCGGCTAGAGCTTTCATTTCCTCGCTTGGAACAGTTGTCGGGGAGAGTTCCCCGGGCTTCTGATTCTTAGAATGGTGGTTACCACCCATTTTGAAGTTTAAATTCCTGAAACATAAAATATCAACATAAAACAGATTAACAAACCTTGGGACCAAATTGTCAGCTGTTTTGAATAATACCCCCCCCCCCCCCCCCAAAAAAAAAAAAAAAAAAATTCTACACTTACTTGAATTTCCTATAAAACAGAAACGAAATTCAGAGAAGTTTGGGTTCGTTACCAACGTGGCACCTGGGGAAGCTTTGCTGTTAATGACTCTGGTAGCCCTGTAGTGACAAGTCGGACATCCGCCATGCCCGTAGTACAGGACCTGACCAGTTTGACGTATTACAGTGCAAGGATCATTCAATGTCCGCATACAGTATCGAAGTTATATGTATTCATTGTAGTATGTATACCTTGTACATTGACCATGTTGTACATACTATTTGGCGATTAGGGTGAACGAATTGTAGCAAACAATGGATGTGTAGAACGTGAAAACATAGCTTAAAATGATAGCTTTAATTTTGAAATAAATCTGATTACAAAGGGATATGAACATGAATAATTTGGATAGAAATGAATTTCGAACCTTGATTTTTTTGAGTAAACTATTGCTATCCGTTTTTGTCCGTCGTGCGTTAACATTCGAACATTTTAGCTTCTTCTCTGCAACTGCTCAACCAATTTCAACCAAATTTAAAACAAAGCATTTGTGGGTAAAGCGGAACAAAAATTATTAATTTCATGGTCCCTATGCCCCAGGGGCCTGAGGGGTGTGGCCAAAACCACTAAAAATCGTGCAATCTTTAAAAACCTTCCATCAAGCAGTCAAACTGTTGGCATGATTGTAATCAGCATTGAGTCTTCTACCAAAATTGTGAAATTCATGGCCCCAGGGTCAGGGGTTCTAGTGCTAGGGCGGGGCTAAATAGAGTATATAGTAAAAATTCATTAGTTATTTGAAAATCTTTTTCTCTGCTCCTTGGCATTAAATAAACTAACCAAGTACAAAGTTACATGTATGTTGGATAAGACTGTCTCTTCCAAAATTGTGAATTTCATGGCCCTTGGGGCAGGGGTTCTGGTGTTAGGGCGGGGCTCTATTGATTACTAATATATTGTGAAAATGCATTAATTCTTTGATGATCTTCTCTGCTCCTGGGGATTAAACAAACAAACTAAGTACATAGTTATAATGAACGAGAATGCCTCAACAAAAATTGTGAATTTTATGGCCCCTGGGTCAGGGGTTCTGGCCTGGGGACCATAAAACTTAGGCGAGTTCACTTTTGATTTCAATCTCACTTTCCTCAAAGGAATATAGTGGAAAAGTAATGCGCATTATAAATAACAAACTCGAAAACGGTTTTTTAGGCAAAATAACCATTGCGGAATCGGACTACACTGTGTGAATAAAGTTTATAATAATATAATGATGTGTGAATAAAGTTTATAATAATATAATGATGTTTGTTATACATTTTACAAAAATTTTGAAAAACTTCGGCGAAAACTTTGACACTTTGAAAAACTTTGGCGAAAACTTTGACACTTTGAAAAACTTTATCGAAAACTTTGACACTTTGAAAATTTTTATCGTAAACTTTGATACTTTGACAAATTTTTGACTCTTTGGAAAAAAATTCTCAAAAACTTTGACACTTTGAAAAAGTTTATCGAAAACTTTGACACTTTCAAAAACTTTATCGAAACTTTGACACTTTCAAAATTTAATCAAAAACTTTGATATAATTTGGTGAAAACTTTGACACCTTCAAAAACTTTATCGAAAACTATGACACTTTGAAAAACTTTGGCGAAAACTTTGACACTTTGAAAAACTTTGGCGAAAACTTTGACACTTTGAGAAATTTTTGCGAAAACTTTGACACTTTGAAAAACTTTGGCGAAAACTTTGACACTTTGAAAAACTTTATCGAAAACTTTGATACTTTGAAAATGTTTATCCAAAACTTTGTCATTTTAAAAAACTTTATCGAAAACCTTGACACTTTGAAAATTTTTATTATAAACTTTGATACTTTGACAAATTTTTGACTCTTTGGAAAAAAATTCTCAAAAACTTTGGCACTTTGAAAAAGTTTATCGAACACTTTGACACTTTCAAAAATTTAATCGAAAACTTTGATATAATTTGGTGAAAACTCTGCCACTTAAAAAAATTTGTCGAAAACTTTGCCACTTTGAAAAACTTTGGCGAAAACTTTGACACTTTGAAAAACTTTGGCAAAAACTTTGACACTTTGAAAAACTTCGGCGAAAACTTTGACACTTTGAAAAACTTCGGCGAAAACTTTGACACTTTGAGAAACTTCGGCGAAAACTTTGACACTTTGAAAAACTTTGGCAAAAACTTTGACACTTTGAAAAACTTCGGCGAAAACTTTGACACTTTGAAAAACTTCGGCGAAAACTTTGACACTTTGAGAAACTTCGGCGAAAACTTTGACACTTTGAAAATCTTTGGCGAAAACTTTGACACTTTGAAAAACTTTATCGAAAACTTTGATACTTTGAAAATGTTTATCCAAAATTTTGTCACTTTAAAAATCTTTATCGAAAACTTTGGCACTATGAAAATTTTTATCGTAAACTTTGATACTTTGACAAATTTTGACTCTTTGGAAAAAATTTCTCAAAAACTTTGACACTTTGAAAAAGTTTATCGAAAACTTTGACACTTTCAAAATTTAATCAAAAACTTTGCCACTTTGAAAAACTTTATCGAAAACTTTGACACTTTGAAAAACTTTGGCGAAAACTTTGATACTTTGAAAACTTTAACGAAAACTTTGACACTTTGATTTACTATAGTATACTATAGTAAACTATAGTTAACTATAGTTTTTTTTTTGTTAGGGAAGAACATATGGAAACAATATCAAAAATCAACCCAAACTTCTCTTCTTTGACACTTGCTGAAAAACTTATATGGATATTGAATAATGAAAATAAAGAAATTTTATGCTTACTTGGAAAATTTATTTCTGAAAATGGTAAAAGAACCAATGTATAATTACCTAGATTCTATCATCATGTTTATGCATGCTTTAAGCCATTTAAATTTATACATGTACAGCATCACATTTTTGTATTGTTTCTTCTGGACAGTTGTATTATGTATGATCATTGACACTGAGAACAATATCATTATGTAACCTGGTCATTTATATAACTGTTAAAAAAATATGTTGTTAAAAAAAAGAAAAGAATGTTTAAATTGTACATTTGTGTATGTTGAAATTCTCCTCGGGGCCCTTGATTGGTAAATAAAATATCTTGTATAAAATATCTCTTGTATATGCATAAAAATAATGTGAAATTCACAAACTACGCACGTGTATATGTACAATGTTTCTAATATAACAAATGTAAACTATAGTAATTGCAGGTTCTTTAACTTTGTTTTTGTTGTTGTTGTTGTTGTTTTTTGTTTGTATAATGAGCACAATTAACAAGGTTTTTCTGTAAGTTTTTGTGACATGAATGAAAATTTCGTATTCAATGTCAATTTACAAATAAGGTCACACTTTGAACTAGAGGGCAAAGTAACATATGCCGCACATCAAAAACTCACTCCCACGCTCGCAGCCCCCGCCTTCGCCGTATCTAAGAGACTGCTTCCTTCCTCCTAAAAAAAATTAAATATGTAGATTATCTGAATTATTTTTTTTACAATGACGATCGACTAATATTGTTCAAGTTTTATTACAGTAAATTGTTTGTTTCAACTACAAAAAAGTCAATCTTTTTGTGCTCAAAATCGTTTGTGATATTGAATGCCAATTTACAAATATGATCATATTTTACACTAGAGGGCAAAGTTACGTTGGATACGTCAAAAAAAACCTTACTTGCACGCTCGAAGCTCCTGCTTTCACCGTATCCAGGAGGCCACCACCTTCTTCCTTTGACTCGGGTTCTTCCTTTTTGGGCTCCTCTTCCTTCGGCTCCTCTTTGGGTTCTTCCTTTTCCGGCTCCTCTTTGGGTGGTTCTGGTGCTTCTTCTACGGCTGCTTGGACCTCTTCACAAGGACTAGGCTCTTGAAATTCAACAATGTCGTCCTCCAGTGTCTTGCCTTTCTGCACGCCCTCAAACTTGGCTGTTGGTTTCTGCTCCTCTTCCTTTGACGATCCTGGAGTCTCTGTAGCAGTCTCTGTCTTTTCCTCCGAGTCCTCTCCTTTGCTCTCTTCGGAACCCTCTCCTTTCTCAGACGCTGTTTTGTCCGATGCTTTTGGAATGGGATCGTAAATTCGTATATGTGCGTAATCATCCCCGACTTTAACCTAAAAATGTAAAAGTTCTGGCATTATAGTTATGTTTCAAAACTGTAATGTGATTGGACAACAGGGGCTGCTTAACCCTCCGAGGCACCTGATCCTAAATCTGGAATTTCCGGAGGTCCATACTGTTTTGACCTTGTTTACAGATTTGCGTTGTTAGTAAGTTTTTGAGATCGATTACTGTACATCGTTATCTCCACAGCTTTTTTGTCTTTCACTTAATCTTAATGACCAGTAAACGCTATTTATTAATATATTGCTTTTACTGATAGCAAATAAAACTATAATCAATACAGATGTGCCTCAGAGATTAACTAAGCTAAATTAAGGCCCATTGCCCCTCTGATAAGTGAGATAACTCTTGCTGGAATAATGACCGTTTATTCCTTAATAAAATTATCAAGTTACCAGGCCTTTCACTTAAAAATCTGTCTTGCAAGTTGCAAGGTATGCTGAAATTTAATTAGAGTAACTTGCAACTTCGTAATTGCATCCTCTCAATCTAGGATATGTGCACGGTTTAAGGGAGGTTGGCATCCTTAGCTACAACTCGTAAAGGAAGCTAAGCTTGTATTGACATACGGAACTTCTACCCAATTATCTAAACAAGAAGGAATTAAGAAGTCTGTTTAGGAAATATCCTTCTTAAGATCCATATGAACAAAATTTTAGGCAATGACCCAAAATCAGCCAGAATGGTCATTTTAAGGATAAAAAGAAAGCACTTCCGTGTCAGGTCACTCTTTGAAATTAACATGTTCCCTTTTCCATGTATATAAGAATATAAAGGTATGTAATATTGGTAAAACGGTACAAAAATTTTTCCAATCATATATGGTATGTACAAACCCTCAAAATAAATATTAAACTAGTGTATACAGGTTAAAAATTAATCTGGATAGGCTGATTTCATCTTTTCTTAACACCCCCCCCCCCCCTGTAACGGATGATTGTAGACTTAAAACATACCTTAATGAAATATACATTCGCTGCTACGACTTGTTTTCTGAAAGAGACGGCGTCAAAGGTATCTAGTTCCTTTCCAAGTTCTTTTTCCACATCAGCTTTAAACTACAATTAAAAGAATAAAATCTTCATTCGAATCATAATAAAGTACGCGCCTTAAACGACGACAATATATCAAATAATGAATCAAAATGATAATGATTGCAAGTTTGTTCTACATGTAATTTAAGTTCCGAACACCGCTAACAGAGTAAGAGTATCTAGAGAAAATTTATATTAAAAAAAACAAAATACGACACCTTTTCGGCCAGAGCTTTGATTTCCTCGCATGGTACAGTTGTCTGGGAGAGTTCCCCTGTGGTCGGCTCCTGATTCTTAGATTGGTTGCAACCCATTTTGAAGTTTAAATTCCTGAAACATAAAATATCGAAATAAAACAGATTAATAATCCTCAGCACCAAATTGTCAGCTGTTTTGAATAATACCCCCCCCCCCCCAAAAAAAAATCCACACTTACTTGAATTTAATTTCTATAAAACAGGGAAGGAATTCAGAGAAGTTTGGGTTCGTAACCAACGTGGCACCTGAGGATGCTGTTCTGTTAATGACCCTGCCTCCTCACTCCTGTAGTGACAAGTCGGACATCCGCCATAGTACAGGACCTGACCAGATTTATGTATCACTGTTTAGTGCAAGGATCATTCATGCAATGTCCGCATACGCTACCGAATTTATGTGTATTCATTGAGTATGTATACCTTGTACATTGACCATGTTACATCCTATTGGCGATAAGGGTGAACGAATTGTAAGAGTATTGGGTGTATGAAAAGTGAAAAATATACTAGTAACTTTAAATTGTAGCTTTCATTTAAAAATAAATGTGATTAAAAGAGGTCGTCAGAATATGAAAAATTTGGGTAGAAATGAATTTTGAACGTTGGTTGGTTTTAAACGCCCCACCCAATTTTTATTTTCATCATTGATATATTGACATATTCATGCATTGTCATATGTTGTACAGCCAAGGTGGACAATCTCTGAAAATTTTCAAGGTTAACGTTGGACCAGGCTGAAGCTAGCAGCCAATAACAGCAGCCACTAAGCGCGTAGAAGCTAGCAGCCAATAAGGAAATTCATCAAAGAACTGAGAGTACTCAGACGCAGTACTGTTTTTAAAATACTTTATTTCAGATAATTAATGGTTAATGATTAGAAAATTAATGCAACAATTAATTACATAATAAATCAGATACTCAGAGGCAGTAAGGCTCACCTGAACAAAAAAATTATTCTTTTTAAAACTGAAAAATAAGAAATAAATTACTTTATCATATTTATCCAATTGAACAAACAAGCACTAAGAAATGGTTAACTCCTTCAGGAAGAATCCCTTTTCAACTCCTTCAGGGACCTTAAGATTAAGTCAGGGCCAATTAGCTAACCTGAAATTTGATTAATATAATGATTGTAAACCGAAATACCGGTATGGCACAAGTGTAAACGATGTTGAAGTTTGTTTCGAACATTATTACTGGGACAACTTAATGAATCTATAAGACTATAAATTACCACTATCAGTAATAAGTGGTGGTGGTGCCACCAAGTGGTTCCAAAAGCATTTTTGATATTACAGGCAGGTATTATACCCATGATTTATAAAGTGATCAACATTACTAGGGCAAGATAGAACGGCCCAAGGATTATTATTTCCTGCTATCAGAAGGGTCTTTAGCGGTACCACCAGGTGGTGCCAAGTGCAGGGGCATATTTCAAGCAATCATTCGTCATCAATTATTGGACACTTGAACTAACTAACTTTCATTGGGGAAGAGTTAAGGGTCTTAGGAAGAATCCCTTGTCAACGTTTCAAGAGGTCCCAGGGACCGGAAAGGGCCATTTATCTACTCTGAACTTTGGCTGTTTTGCATTATATACCAAAAACGCCATTAAAGATCAGCTATTAAAAGCCTTATCTTTAAAGTGATCACCAAATGATTAATAGGGCAAGGTAGAGGGGCCCTTGGGCTATCATTTTCCACTTTCAGAATAGGGCTCTAGTGGCACTACCAAGTAGAATGGGGCTGTAGTGGCACCACTTGGTGGTGCCAAGTGCCTGGGGCATATTTCCAGCATTCATATTTTATTCATTGTCGGCCTCCAGAACAAACTAACACTGGGGATGGGTAAGGGGCCTTAGGGGGTATCCCTTGACAGATTTCTGCAGGGTCCTAGGGGCTGGAAGGGTCCAGTTAGCTAACCTGAACTTTGATGTTTTTCATCATTGTACGTTGGGAAACGGGAAAAGGGCAGTTATTATACGCCTTATCCTTGAAGTGTTCATCAAATGATTACTGGGGCAAGGTAGAGGGGCCCTAGGGCTATCATTTCCCACTTTCAAAATGGGGCTGTAGTGGCACCACTTGGTGGTGCCAAGTGCCTGGGGCATATTTCCAGCATTCATATTTTATTCATTGTCGGCCTCCAGAACAAACTAACACTGGGGATGGGTAAGGGGCCTTAGGGGGTATCCCTTGACAGATTTCTGCAGGGTCCTAGGGGCTGGAAGGGTCCAGTTAGCTAACCTGAACTTTGATGTTTTTCATCATTTTTCTTATTCCTTCAACACAAATGTCCTTTTAAAGGTTGAAAGGCCACAGGAACAATAAGATTACCAGTATTTTCTTTTTCTTTTGTGCATAAGAATTTTTTCACTTCAATGGGAAACATTTGCTTATGTATAAATATTATATTAAATATTATTTACAAGTTTACATCATGATTGCTAGTATTCTCTTTTATTTTTGCATAAGATTTTTTTTTTCACTCTAATGTAAAATATATGCACATGTATACATTTTATATTATACCGGTAATATTATTTACAAGTTCACATCATAAGTTTAACGTTTGAAAATCTTATTACCTCTAAAAAGTGCAAAGTTTCGATGTTAAAAATATGAGACCGTCACAGAATCTTTATCACATATTGCCAGTTTGCACGTCATTATGCCCCCTTAAACTAAGTTTTGGGGGTATATAGTTTATGTTGTGTCCGTCCGTTTGCATCTCTGTCTGTTTGTCCGTAAAAACTTTAACCTTGTCCTTAACTTTTGATTTAATGGGGCTATGACTTTCATATTTCACGAGTGTACTCCGTGTGACAAGACTTTTCTTTGTGTACCACCAAAATTGACCTTCTGACCATGACCTTGGAGTTTGACCAACTTCAAATTTTTTTTAGCCTTGTCCATAACTTTTGAACGATAAAGGCCAAAACTTCCATCCTTTACATATGTATTCTATGTGACAAGATCTTATATTGGATACTAGTTACCTTGACCTTTGGACCTTGACCATGGAGATTTTTGTACTTTATGAACAAGATACGTTTTTTGAAACACTATGCGCCCGGAAACAACAAAGTTAAAAAAAAACATATTTATAGCATATAGATCAAAGTCAAGGTCACAAAGAACTTGAATAGTGAAGCATGCATACCAAATATGAAGTTTTTATCTCTCATGTTCCAAACTAGTTATTTTTAGCATATAGGACACAGTCAAGGTCACAAGGTCATTGGCCTTGGTGGCATGTGAATGTGCTTCATTAGTGAAGTATATATTCCAAATATTAAGTCTCTATCTTTCTTCGTTCAAAAGTTATGGCGAAGGTTAAAATTGCCGACAAAAAACTGTATTTAGCGTATACACTGTAGGTCACAGTCAAGGTCACAAGGTCATTGGCCATGGTAGCATTTAAAAGAGCTTATCCAGTGGTGTATGCGTACCAAATATGAAGTCTCTATCTTTTATGGTTCAAAATTTATGGCGAATGTAAAAGTTTGCAGAAAAAAATATATTTAGCATATAGGTCACAGTCAAGGTCACAAGACTTTTGAACAAGTACAGAAATCTCCAAGGCCAAAGGGTCAAGGTTGTTGGTATCCAATAAAAGGTCTTTCAACAAAAAATGCATTTGTGAAGTATACACATTTAAATGTCCTGGTACCTACTGTTCAAAAGATATGATCAAAGTAAAAAAAATAGAATTTTTGTGTTAAAGTGTGTTTAACTCGAAGGTCAAAACGATAGATTTGGTGGTACACAAAGAAAGGTCTTGTCACAAGGAGTACACACGTGAAATAAGAAAGTCATAGCTCCATTAAATAAAAAAATTAAGGACAAGGTTTAATTTTTGCGGACAAACAGACAAACAGCTAGCCGAACGAACGGACGGACACGACAAAAACTATATCCCCCCCAAAACTTCGTTTAGGGGGCATAATAAGAGGTGCAAAATGGCAATATGTAATAAAGATTCTGTGATGGTCTCATACTTTTAACATCGAAACTTTGCATTTTTTAGAGGTGATGAGATTTTTCAAACGTTAAACTTGATGTGAACTTGTAAATAATATCATATAACATAAGATGTATACAAATATCTAACATTAAAGTGAAAAAATCTCAAGCAAAAAAAAAAGAGATGTGATTGTGAAACACTGATTCCCCCGTATGGCAATATAGTGAAGATTAAACTTTTCTGGGATGCAAAGTTAATATATTGGTACCTAAAGTAGTGTCTTCTAACTGGAAATAAAATTGCAAAACATGAAAGTCCTGTCACCATTTGTTCCCAAGTTATGGTCAGGCTTAATTTTTTTCATAAGTACAAAAATCTTCAAGATCAAGGTCAGAAGGTCAAGTTTATTGGTATCCAATGAAAGGTCTTTCCACAAAGATAACATATTCGAAGTATGGAAGCCCTAGCCCTCACCATTCAAAAGTTATGGCCAATGTTAAAAAGATATTTATGTACGTTAAACTCCAAGATCAAGGTCAGAAGGTCAAGGTTATTGGTATTGAATGAAAGGTCTTGTAACAAGAATTACATATGTAAAGTATGAAAACCCTAGCCCTTCCTCTTGGAAAGTTATTTCCAAGGTTGACGTTTTTTCATACGTCCGGAAATCTCAAAGGTCAAGGTCAAAATTCTTGGTTTTAAATGAAAGGTCCTACCAAAAAAAAGTTATAATTGAAAAATGAAATTCCCAGTATCTACGTTTTAAACTTAGGGCCAAAAGTAAAAAATTGCAATTTTGTGTAAAAGTGGGTCAAGGTCAAAATGTCAAGGTTTTTGGTATCAAATGAGAGGTCTTTTCACAAGAATTAAATATGTGAAGTATGAAAGCCCTAGTACTAACCCTTCAAAAATTATGTTCAAAGTTGTATTTTTAAAGTAGGTCAAACTCCAAGGTCAAGGGATCAAGGTTCTTGGAATCCAGTGAAGCGTTTTCTCACAAGAATTACATATGTGAAGTATGAAATCCCTAGCACTTTCTGTTCAAAAGTTATAGCCAAGCTTAAAGTTTTTTCATAAGTACGTAAATATCCAAGGTCTAG